CTGACTGTGAGCAGGGTGGCCAGGTGGACGTGCCAGCGTGCAGAGCCACGCTCCTCAGACGGGCTCGCTAGTCCCTGGTGCTCTGGGGGGCGCTGGAGACACAGGGCCAACGCGTCCTGGAATATGAATTGACTCAAAGACTCAGAGGAGAAAGCTAAGGATTTTTCACTGGTGAGTAATTTAAAACAAAGAGGGAGGAGTTGTGGTCAGAATACCAAGTTTGCCTGATTTTTTTTTTTTCCAGATGAGACAGGAGCTTCAAAGAAAAGCTATGGTTGATTGGGCTGTGTCCCCAGACTCCCCTGACACAGCTACCCACCTTGGGGTACTCAGCTTCACCCCATTGCAGGAGGAGTTCCTGAGGAGGAGGGTTTTCTCAGGCTGCTGGGCCTCCCAGAAGTGCTCCTACACCCCAGGGCTCTCGGGGTGCCCTGAGGGAGCAGGGAGCTGCTGGTGGAGGCAGTAAGACTCACCTGACTTCCAGGCCCAGAGCCCGGGCTTCACCTTCCGCCTCATCTTCTGCTGTCTGGCCTCCAGGCCTCTGCGAAGAGGTCTCAGTCCCCAGCCCTGTTTGGCCTGGGGATTCCTGAGGTGGCCCCAGGACACTCCCCTTGGAACCTCACCAGGACTCCTTCCCAAGCTAAAGGGGAACTTGGGGGAGAAAGGGGATGGGCCAGCAGAGAGACTATTCTTTCCTGGGACGAAGCTGGACAGGGCTTCTCCATTGCCTCCTCCCCAGACCTGAGCAGCAAGAGGCCACTCAGAAGTGGCAATAATCAATGTTGGCTTTGGGAGCTTGGGAGCTGGGGTGGGGGCGCGGTATTGGTGTTAAGGTGATGCAGACAGGAGCAGTATCTCCCAAACAGTTCTCTGGAATAGAACAAGTGAAGGCAGAATGGTCTCCTCTCTCCCACCCTCCATGCAGGGTCTGATTAAGAGCCCCTTCCCAGTGATGAAGACAGAACTGAACTAGCCTGAGGTCCGTGGGCCTGGGGTGAGGGGAGAGGAAGGCCAAGGAGGGTGCTTGTCTGTCCCCTCTGCCCTACGTCCTTTGGCTTCCCTTCTTGGGAAACAGGGGTGCTGATTTCTCCCTGCACATCCTCCCTGCTACCCATAGACCTGAGTTCCAGAAGCTTCTTCAGAGAGTTCCAGAAGCTTCTTCAGAGAGGAAAGATCTTAGGAGGCCTGGTCAGCTTGTATTTCTCTGGTCCAACCACAAATAAAGAAGTGGATACCAAATGGAGATGGGTTGGAGCTGCAGGGGGCAGCTAGGAACCATGAGGTCACCAGCCCTTGGTAGCTGGAGGACTACAGGCAGGTCCAGGGGAAACTCAGCGGCCTTCATGCTGCTTATGGCTTTGGCTGCTTCCTTTGCGGTTGGCTTTCCAGCCAGGGGCTCCTCTTGCCCCAGCCTTTTCCCTCCTTGTTTCAACAGAGCCACCTCAGTCCCTTTGGGCCACCGGGTACACAGGCTTTCCCACAGGTCACATGGCTGCATCTCTTCTCAGAGTATCTCTCTCCTTCTCTTCCACCCTTTGGTCCTCCAGCCCCTCCTGGAAACCAGACTCCCGTCTTCTCAAGAATGCATGAGCATGCGTGTGCGCATGCAAATTCAGCCAGAGGGGTGTGCACATGCATGATAACACGTGTATTTCAATACATGTATTGGTCCTTAATTTTCTAGATAATGGAGCTTAATTCCCAAGAGAGTGTTCTGGAACCCAGTCATGCTGTGCCTCAGCCCAGTGTGTGCCATGCCTCTGAAGGCTGCCAGGAACTGAACAATCTCTACCACCTGGCAATGAGCCAGAGCTATACAGGCACTGTTTTATCAAATGCTTGTGACAACCCACAGGAAAGCAATGGCAGCTATTCCTGCAAGAACTGGAGGCAACAGTAACAAAAAAGCAAAAAGCAACTGGCCAACTTGGGGGTTGCTCCAGATGTACCTGACCCCACAGCCCACGGTCAATCCTCGCTATGTCTTCAGCAGGGGGCAGGCTGAGCCCAGGCCCAGGGATAGGGAACAGTGTCCACAGATGGTCCCCAGCCACACTCCTCTGACACAACCAGGGCCGGGGTACTGCATACAGTGGCACCACACACCACACCACGACACACCAGGGAATTTAAAAAATCTTTTACACTTCTAAATGGAAAATTTCAGGAACTAGTCTAATGAACCCCCATGTACCCAATACCCAGCTTCAAAAACCATCAACATTTTGACCATCTTATTTCATAATTCTGTCCCACGCATTTTTTTCCCTGAAGATTTAAAAAGCAAATCTCAGACATTTTATGACACCTGTAAATACTTCATGAGGCATCTCTGACAGATGAGGACTTTTTCCCTTTAATCTAATTAAAATACCATTACCACACCTAGCAAAATGAGCCAGGTCTCCTTAATGTTACGTAATGCTCAGTTCGTGTTCAAATTTCCCCAGGCACCTCAAAAATGCCTTTTTACTGTAGGTGTGTGCAAATCAGGATCTAAACCAGGCCTGTCCACTGCATTTGTCTGATGTCTCCTAATCTTTTATGGAGGACCACCTCCATTCCCTCATGTCCCCAATGTCTTCCACAAGAAGGTCTTGTTCCATGAAATGTTTCACATTCTGATTCACTGATTCCATCCTCATAGCGCTATTTAGCATCCTCTAATCCCCCTACAGATCTCTCCAGAGGTATAAAGTAAATCACACCATTTTTCTGCTTTAAATCCTTCCAAGGGCTGGGGATGTGGCTCAAGCGGTAGCACGCTCGCCTGGCATGCGTGCGGCCCGGGTTCGATCCTCAGCACCACATACAAACAAAGATGTTGTGTCCACTGAAAACTAAAAAAATAAATAAATATTAAAAAAAAAAAAAAAATCCTTCCAAGACTTCTTGTTGCCCCTAAAACAAAACCCACACATTTTCCCCAGCCTACAAGGACCTGCCTGTCATTTGTCTTCTGATTCCTTCTCAAACCTCATTTCTCCCTCCTCACCCTCTTTCCTGTCCCCTCAGCCCCAGTGGCCTGGCCTCCCTGTCCTACTCTGAAAGTTCAGGAACTTTTCCTCAGGGTCACTGCAAACAGAAGCGGTCATTTCTACCAGAGACGCTCCTCCCCAGCTCCACTCAGCCCAGCCAGATCTTCCTCATCCTTGGGGTCCTCTTAATGACCTCTCCCCAGACAGGCCTACCCACCAGAGGAGACCCTCCCACCCTGCAGGGATTTTCCCTCCAGTCTCCTTTTGGTATCCATTGCCGCTTCTCAAAATATGTGATTATTTTTGCCTATTTGTTTCCTTGGTGTTTAATGGCCTCCTCCCTCCTCTCCCACCCAGAAGGTGGCAGGTTTGGGGAGGCAGAAATGTGTCTATCTGGTGTCTACCAGGCCTATCACAGGGCTGAAAACATGGTCACAACTCAAGTATTTGTTTATTAATAGAATAAATGGAAAAAAGAGGTTTACCTTCCAAAGAACTCATAATCTAGCCAGAAAGAGAGAAAACAAAGATAATTCAAGACTTTCTAATTGATTGACATCTATTAAATACTGACTAAAGACCTCCATACTTTTCTGGGCACAGAGGGGATATCACAGGCATAAAGCACATGCTTCAGAGTCTGCGGAAAGGCACACGGGTCGGGGAAAATGAAGAGGCCTAAGTACTCCTGGAAGGCTCCACAGGGAAGGGGTCCCAGGGCTGAGCCTCCAAAGTAAAAATCCCTCCCATTTCCACAGTGCCAAAGATGCCTGGGGCGATTCTCCCCTTTTGAGATATAAGGGAATTGAGACTCAGCGATTTGCCCAGGTTCTACAGCGAGGAGGTAACAGAATGACTAGAGCCCATAAGTCCTGACATCTCCCTGTTGTGCTGGGTGGGCAGGCGCAGTGAGGAGGAAGGTGGAAGAGAGGCAGTAGATTCCACCTGGCAATGGCCAGGGGACCAGAGGAAGCAGAGGCCCAAGAAAGAGAATAGAGAGTCCCAGCCCAGAACTGTGGACCCTGGGAGGGTGGGAGGGGCTGCATCAGATCTGCCCCATCAGGTGGGACCTGGGGTACCTGGCCCAGGGCCCAGAGCCTAAGGAGAGATCCTGGTCCCTGGTTCTGCCCAGCATTTGCTGGTGCCCTGCCTTTGGTGTGAGCTCTGGAAACTTCACACACTTAATCATAGGCTCCTCTACTTTATGAGCTTAGTATTTTTGTTTGTTTGTTGTTTGGGGTCTGCTTGTTTTGATACTGGATATTAAATCCAGAGACGCTTTACCACTGAACTACACTGCCAGCCCTTCTTGGTTTTAAGACAGGTTACCAAATAGCTAAAGCTGAGCTCTAATTTGCAATCCTCCTGTCTCAGCCTCCCAAGTATCTGAGATTGGAATAACAGCCTGCTTAGGTTTTGTTTTTGTTTTATTGAACTCAGGAACACTCTACCACTGAACTCCAACCCCAATATCCTTTTTCAAAATTTTTAATTTTGAGATGGGGGTCTCACCAGTTGGCCAGGCTGACCCAAATGTGCCATCCTCCTGCCTCAGTCTCCCAAATAGCTGGGATGACAGGTGTGTGGGTATGTACCCCTCCCCCTCCACACAGTTATTTTTAATTTAGACAAAATACTTCACTTGGCTTTCATGATCCCAGTCAACCAATCTTTTTGTCTTTTTACTAGAGCTGTCTGTTTTTACGGTTTTGATCTCTACTATTTTATTAATCCTTTAGCTTTTTTTTTTTAATGAGGGTGTTGTTTACTTTACCTCTTTTTTATCTTTTGCTTCTAAATGCAGACAGAGATAGCAGTTTTAAAAAGAGAGGCCAGCAGGTGGTCCTGGGCTGATGAGGTTGGGGCTCCAGGCCTGGGACCCCATAGCCTGAGCCTCCAAATATGGACCTCCGGAAAAGACTGCTGTGCCCGTTAAAAATGACTCATTTCAGCAACCCAGAGAGTCACAGGGCAGGTGTCTCATAGAGAGGAGAGTATTCCCTCCACAGCCAGAGGACTTACCAGAACAGGGCCTTGTAACTTATTTGTGGGAGGATAAGTGACATCTTGATGAAACGGTTTTGACATGAAGACACCAGACATGGCATCCTGTGCTCTAAAAGCAACCATTAAGCCTTAGTTTACTCTCACTGCCAAGCAACGTGCAAAGCAGGCTCTTGGCTCCACCCCCAGACGCCAGCCCAGGGTTCCCATCAAGAGGCAGGAGTTTCTGCAGCACAGGCTTCTGGGTAAGCAGCCAGACCCAGCTGCATGGAAACGTCTCCCATGTCAAATTTGAGGGGTCCAAATGTTCTTTCATTCTACTGTTTGGGGCTTTGGTTATTTAAATGTGTGGGTGCCCTTTAAAGGCAAAGTGTCGTCTTTGTTTTCGAAATTTGCATAAATGGCTTCATCGAGTCCTTTCTGTCTCACACTCCTCCCCTCTGGGTTGCTCGTGAGACTAGTGATCGCTCATTATTTCTGACCGCTGCTTGATTCTCGAACGCCCTTGTTTTATTTACCCGTCCCCTGGTGAAGGACACCAGGCAAGCTCACAGCCTCACTCGTGAAATAAGAATCTGGGGTTACAGAAAAGGAAAGATGGTACGTACCGAGTCTCAGAAGAGAATTGCCCACGAGCCTTCGGAATGCAGAAATGCCCATGAACCTTTGAAATGCAAAATAAGCATTCCTGAGCAACCCAGCCTGCGTCCTTAGCCCGTGCCCTTGGCCCATGCCTTTGCCTATGAAAAGTAACACGGGGCAATGCACAAGTGCTGGAAAAACAGGGTACAACTGCATTACTCCACCCTGCCCCACCTCTAGCCCAGTCCCTAACTACAGTCCTTCCATGAATATTAACACTCCACACCAAAGAGCTGCTGTCGCTCTCTTTGGAGCTAGCCACATTCTCCTTGAACGTGTACCTTCTTTTCTGAATAAAATTGTCTGTGTCTCTGGCTCGCACTCCTGAAATTCTTTTCCATCAGGTATGCCAAGGACCCCACTTATCCTGAGTCGAGGTCCCCCTCTCCAGGGACTCTTCCCGTGACATCTAGTACCTGATTCGATTCCAATTTTCTAATATTTGCAATTCAAGGAGTTAAAATTGTGCCTTATTTTAATTGTGTTTAAAAGATTGAGCAAGTTTTCATATAGCACTAGAGATTCAGAGGTCCACTTCCATGAAGGGCTATTTAAATCCTCTTCCTTGCTTTTTGTTTTTTATTTCCTATTGGATTCTTATGCTTTTCTTATGGCTTTGCAGTTGCTTTTATATATACTGGATATTAAATCTTAGTCAACTTTAGACTTTTAAAAGAAGTATCTGCTCTCACCTTGTTACCCTTATTAAACTTTTGTTTACACAGTGTTTTTTCTTTTGATAGCAATCTATAATGTTGACATGGTCAGACCCACTTATTTTGTGCTTCTGGTTTTTGCATGGGGTTTTTGTTGTTGTTGTTTTTCAGGTTTTTAAAAAATCTCTTAAAAGAAATACTCACTCTGAGGTTCTGAGTTATTTTTAATATACCCTCTTTTATTTGTGTTTATAATTTTGATTTTCACATTTAGGTCTTTATCCATTTGAATTTTAAAAATAGAACATTAAGTATGAGTCCAGGGGCTGAGGGTTTAGCTCAGTGGTAGAGTGTTTGTCTAGCATGCTCAAAAACCTGGGTTTGATCCCCAGCCCTACAAAAAAAAAAAAAAAGGTATGAGTCCAACTTAATTTATTTCTGAAAGAGTAGACTACTTTTCCTGATCCCCTTTACTAAATAATTCATCATTCCTGCACTGATTTGTGATGCTTTCCTGTGAGGTTTTGTTTGCTTAGAATTGTTTTTGTTTATTACATTTATTTATGTATGTCTTTATCTTCCTGGTCTCTGACTTGTTCTCTTGGCCCATTTGTCTGTTCCTATGCCAGTAACACACTGCTTTTATTATTATGACTTTGTAATCAGTTTGATTATCAACAGAGCAAGTGTTGTTTCTTTGTTCTTTTTAAATCGGATTAGCTATTTGTGGATCTGGATTCTTCTATATAAATTTTGTAATCAATTTAATTCCCTCAAATTCCTGCTAGAATTTCATCGAATGGAGGAAATTAATTTTGGGCTAATAGGAGTCTTCCCAAGATTAAATCATCTCAAACATAGATATAGTATTTCTATTTACTTAGGTCTTTTCAGCTAGTGGCCTTTAGTGAAATTTAATTGCTTTTCTTTGTGGTCTTGGGCCCTCTTTGTTATGTTAATTCTTAGGACTTTTGTGGTTTTCTCTGCTATTATTAGAACCTGGTTTTCACTCCATTCCAGAATCCTGAGAGGGGCCTAGCAGTATGTCCACGTTACCATAAAAATAGAGCATTTTAACCACAATAATAATAGGGCACAAATCTATGCTATTTCCACCCCAAGTTCTCCTCCATCACATCTGCCCAAATGTTGGACAGCACTGGAGTGATCACAGATAATCTGAGCTCCAGGTAAGAGGAGATAAATCTAGCTTGGAGTTGATGGAATATATTTATGTGGTTCATAATCACTTCCATATATAGTTAGGTTATTGCCAGGTGTCCTGGTGTCTGAATGATTTCTGATAATTCCTGAAATTCCTCCCACTCCTGTCTTTTTTTTTTTTTTAGTTTTCCATAAAATATGTCTTTATTGTCTAGGTAGACTATGTTTATCTTTTTGTTTTGTTTTGTTTTGTTTTAATTAGTTACGCATGACAGTACAATGATCTTAACATATCATGCATTTGAATCAGATGGGGTACAATTTCTCGTTTTTCTGAGTGTACAGTTTGCAGAATTACATTGGTCATGCAGTCACGTATATAACCTCAGCAATAATAATGTCTATTTTATTCTGCTGTCCTTCCAAACCACTCTTGTCTTGATTCATTAGACATCTGGAAACAAAGATGCAAAGATAGAATTAAGTCAAATAGTTAATTAGTAAAGTGAATAAATAAAAATTTAAAAGCTGCTTTTCTGTTTGTTATTCATTATACTTTACAATTTTTTATTGTAATTAACTGTGAACTATCTTTCTAAATAAATATACTTTATACCTAATTTTGAATCTGTACTTTTATTTTTCTTATAGAGAAGAGAGCTCCCATAAATTATATAAACATACACACCTCAAAACCTGGATTTGGGAGCCAGGCACGGTGATACACACCTGTAATCCCAGCTACTTGGGAGGATGAGGCAGGAAGAGGGCAAGTTTTTTTTTTTTTTAAAAAAAGGGTTGGTGATGGAGATCAGTGGTAGAGTGCCTTTGAGTTCAATCCTCAATACAAAAACCAAACAAAACAGAATAATAAACAAGGCAGCACACATACAATCCCAGTGCAAAATAGTCTGGGCAATTTAGCAAGACCCTGTCTAAAAAGGAAGAGGAGGAGGAGGAAGAGGAGAGGAAGAGGAAGAGGAAGAAGAAGGAGGAGGAAGGGTGAGAATGTAGCTCAGGGGTAAAGCACCTCTGGGTTCATTCCCTAGTACACACACACAAAAGTACTGGATTTGTCCCCTGTATATGATCAATGGCATTAATGTTTTTTGTATTCAAATTTATTTGTTGATCTAGTATTCAGCAACCTTATTAAGCTTTCTTAATAGTCTTAAAAGTTTGTTGACTCTTTTGAGTTTTGTTATAAACTATCATATCATCTGCAGCTAGTGACTATTTTACCTCTTACTTTCCAATCTTATCTTTTTTATTTTTATTTTTTCCTATCTTATTGCATGGGTCAGGACCTTCAGCATTTTGTTGAACAATATGTAGTGATAGTGGGTATTATCTTCTTCTTCCTGACCTTAATTGCAATACATCAAAAATTCTTCTTTAGCCAGGTGTGGTGGCTCACACCTATAATCCCAGCAGTAGGGAAGCTGAGGCAGGAGGATTGCAAGTTCAAAGACACCTCCACAAAAGCAAGGTGCTAAGCAACTCAGTGAGGCCCTATCTCTAAATAAAATACAAAATAGGGCTGGGAACGTAGCTCAGTGGCTGAGTGCCCCTAAATTCAATCCCTGGTAACCACCGCCCTACCAAAAAATATTCTTCTCTAAGTGTGACGTTTAATTGGAAAGATTCATGCCCGTTCATTTACTTTATATCTCTAGCTGCTTTCACACTACACTGGCAGACATGACAGACTGCCTACAAAGCCTAAAACATTTGTCATCTGACCCCTGACAAGAAAAATTTGTCCATTTCTACTACAAAGTGATGAACTATATTGATATACTTTCTAATAGTGAAAACATTCACATGATTGGGATAAACTAATCCCTTCCAGGATTTTTTTTCATTATAATATAACGTATATCAGTCAAATACACAAATCCTAGATACACAGCTTGATGGATTTTTACATATGTACACTCTAATTTAAACATCACTCAGACAAAGATCTTGCACATTTCCTGCCCTGCAGTAGGCTCTCTCTCATTCCCCAGTCATCTATATTGCCAACCCCCTCGATTCAGATTCTTCCCAACTCCCACGCTACAGATTCATTATGCCTGTCTTGAATCTTCCAAATGGAACCTTGCAGTACATAGTCTTATGAGTCTAGCTTTTTCATTCAAGAATATAGATCCAATTATTGTGTAGATAAAATAGTTATATTTTATATTTTTCAAGTTATTTAGAATTATATTATTGGCCTAAGGCCGGGGCTGCTGCTCAGTGGCAAAGCACTTGCCTCACACGTGTGAGGCACTGGGTTCAATCCTCAGCACCACATAAAAATAAATAAACCAAATAAAGGTATTGTGTCCATGTATAACTAAAAAAATATTTTTTTAAAAAAAGAGGTTTAAAATTTCCTTTTTGTACAATATCTTTTTCTTTTTTGGTGTCAAGTTTATACCAAGTTACATCGAGTCCATGAGATGTCCTGAACAGCTTTCCCTCTTTTCTATTTTTGAAACAGTTTATGTTAGACACCAGTTGGTTGGGTTGGCATACAGAACACTGCCCAGGATTAATGTATCAATTAACTTTTTTTCTAAAATTTTTGTAGATCTTACCTATAAATACCTCTAGAATAGACCAAGTCTTTGGATATTCAGTGTAACAAAGAAATTTCGATAACTACCATTTTTATTTGTTTGCTATTCATATGTTTGCTAGTTTTCTATTTACCTTGTGCCAATAGCAGCATTATTTGTTTTTTCAGAAATTTGTGCACGTTATCTAGGTTTTCTTTTTTCTTTTCTTTTCTTTTTTTCAGTGCTGAGGATTGAGCCCAGGGCCTTGCACATACTAGGTAAATGCTCTACAAGTGAGCTAGATCCCCAGCATTTCTGTTTTTTTGAATTTTGAGATAGAGTCTCTCTAAGTTGTCCAGGCTGGCCTTGAATTTGTGATCCCTCTACCTCAGCCACCCAAATTACTGGAATACAGGTGTGTGCCATCACGCCTGGCTTAATCTAAGTTCTCAAGTATATGTAGTTGTGTATATGTTTATAGTTGTTCTAAAATTATTTTTATATTTTTAAATCTTAGTACAACTGCTATAGTTTGGTTAAATGAAAAGTTCTTGTTTTCTTAGTATTTATCTCATTTACAGTTTTTTATTTGTTTTGGGTAGGAATTTAAAACTAAGAGGCACTTTACCAATGAGCCACATCCCTAGACCTTTTTATGTTTTATTTT